GAAAGGAACGCTAAATAAATTTTATAGGCAAACAATTATAGTGATAAAATATATAAATTAAAACAATATATATATATATATATATATAAATAAAACTAGATTGAATAAATGATTTAAAATTATACACGTATTGTGACCTACCAATGAAGTGATAGATTACGAGGAGAAAAAAAAAAAAAAATAAAAATATATACATATACACATACATAGAGAGGTTGTAACACATTCTTGTTAAATCTCAAAACGAAAAATAAAAACAAAGAATCAGTTCAATATTCTCGGAGAAAATCCAGAGACGAATGCACTTTTAAAAATTCATTTGCTGCGTATATTATTCCTCATTATTGAAAATAATAGACCAACAAAATTTATTTCTATACATCCAATGGAATTCAGTATGCTACAGTTAATAAATATAAGTTATATTTGTCCTTGCATAGTAGAGAGGATACATAAATAGTTTACTGTATTTTATTTAATATTTATATTACCCTAATTGAAGTTTGTAGTATACTTAATAAGTTTAAAGCTTTAATTGGAAATTAACAGTAAAAATCAGATGGTATTAAAAGTGACATTTGGTCATTTTAACGGCCACATTGGATTTTAGGGCCATACATGAAAAATGTTTTTAGAAATTTCAGTGAAATTTTCGCTGTTTCTCCAGGGGAAACAACATCAAGATCAACACAAACTCAAGAGATAATTATAAAACACTAATAAACTACTTCTCATCTAAAAGCTACGATTTTCACTGTTATCAGTTGAGACAAGAAAAGCCATATCGAGTGGTCTTGAGAGGCCTGCACTTAACCATCCCTATACACGTTATCAAGTCTGACCTAGAAATAATAGGGCACAACGTTAGGCACATATCTTGCGTGCTACACCACACGCAGAAATATCCGTTACCTTTATTCTTCGTTGATTTAGAGTCTGCTAGTAATAACCCCGAGATATTTCAAGTTAACCGGCTTATATATTCAACAGTTAAATTTGAAGAGCCTAGACATAAACCAGTGATAGTGCAATGCACTAAGTGTCAAGAACTGGGTCACACAAAGACCTATTGCCACCACCAGGCCAGGCGTAAAATGTGCCGGGTTACACGCAGCTGACACTTGTCAGAAACCTCTAGACCAGCCTCCTAAATGTGCTCCTTGCGACGAAGACCATCCGGCAAGCTACAAAGGATGCATAGTCTACAAAAATCATTACAAGCTGAGATCACGGAACATATCCTTAAAAGCTTAAACTCAATAATGAAAGTTACACCCAGCCACCAGAAATTGAAAATATTTCTAATTTCCCTGAATCGCCGAAAAAAATTACCAATGCCACCGAATCGACCATCCTCATCAGGACTCCAGCCAAACTTACACCCAAACCACCACCAAAAAGTAGCCAGGCGCTTCACACCTCCCAATCCAAACCTCATACTCCCAATCCTCAATCTCATCCTCCGCGTCCGCAAATTCCTCCTCATCACCTACCGTTGCGAGTTAAATTAGTGCCATAGCAACCTCATCCATCTCATCCTAATGTACAGGAAAAAAAACAAGCACAAGTGCCGTCGAATTCAGACCCACCTCGCACACAACGACGGATCCCACCATCAGTTAACACTCCTTACCCAACATAAGAACTTATCCAAAGTCCACTTCAAAACCAACATCCATGTGACATAACTCCTAAACTGTCATCCTTCCTATTGGATCTCCAAAACACTATAAAACCACTTATCACAAAATTTGGCAATCCTAAAAACCCTTAAATGAGATTTTCTTCGATGTATAGTAATAGAAAAACTCTGCACGAAGATTTTGCTAGGACCTTTCCAAATTTTGTCGACAACGACCAAATTGTGATAACTATAGAATGGATCCATTAATTTAAATGAAAGTTATTAGGGATTTAGGGCTCTGTGTGCTACACGAAATCGAAATGATATATAAACTCGGCTTTCGTAAACAAATTAGAACCCAAGATATAAAATAAAAATGGGTTACAAGTGTTTCTTAATTTCTAGCTTGAAAAAAGAATAAAATCAAAAAGTTATTGATGTCGATTGGAAGAGCAGTAATTCAGCTTTCTAACGGTTATATTAAAGTTTAATTTGAATAAAATCCTCCTCTCCTCTTCTCAACTGCCAAAATCCTTTCTATCATCTCACGATCTGATACAAATAACATATAATATCCGAACTCCTTCAATCCAGCCTCCAACTATCACCTTCTAGATACCTTTACCCGAGAAAAAATAATACCTGACCAAGAAATCCTAGATTGAAATGGAATATATTCTTGCTCTTCCATCACTCCATGGTTGACATTCTTACCACCAATCTTCTCAATATTCTCAATACCCATGCTCCCTCAAAACCTCTACCTTTCGTCGCCGGTCTGCTCCTTGGATGTGTCAGGAAATCAAAGATCTGCAGAAGAGGCGCGACGCTGCCTGAAGACGTTTTAGACGTACTAGGCTTGCAGATGACTACCAAGCGTTCAGGATACTTCGCAACTTGACACAAACAAGGATCAGCCGTGCGAAAGCTACCTACTTCCATGAAACCCTTTCCTCAGCTCCTGATATCAAATCGAAATGGCTACTGCTTCGATTTGTAATCCTTCCAGATCCTCTACTGCAGCCTTTCCTGTAACCTCCGATGATTTAAACTCACATTTTATATCAGTCGCTAATACCTCTTCTCTACCCTCCTCTTCCGGCTTTTCTTCAGAGACATCCTTTAACGACAATAACTTTTATTTTTCCGGCATCTCTCCTACTGATCTTTTAGCCGCAGTAATGAAATCTCACACCAATTCCATGGGACCAGACGGCAACCCTGTCAAATTAATAAAATTATGTCTCCCTGAAATCCTCCCAGCTTCCTTTTTATCTACAATTTCGAGCTTCAGAATTCAGTATTCCCTACCTCTTGGAAAAAAGCCATTGTTCTTCCTTTAAATAAAAAGCCTAATCCATCCTCGCCCGAAGATATCCGTCCAATCTCAATTCTTTTTAACTTCTCAAAGCCTCTTGAAAGACTGGTGCAATCCCAAGTCTCCAAGTTCCTCGAAAAGTGCAACCAATTTAATCCTCTCCAATCTGATTTCCGTCCCAGCTATTCCACATAATCTGCCAAATTAAAATTACCAGCGACATTCAATCTGCAATAGATGATAGAAAATTAACTTTCCTTATACTTCTCGACTTCTCCAAAGCCTTCAATACCATTAACCATTTCATCCTCTTCAACATACTAAAATCATTATCATTCGCCAATAGTTCCATCTCTTGGTTCCAATCTTTCCTGTCCCAACGCACCCAATCAACCACTAATTGCCTACCTTCCTTTATCCTTTGAAGTTGCCCAGGGTTCAAGCATATCTCCTCTCCTTTTCAGCTCCTATATTAACGACCTACATAATTCAATTCTCCATTGTTCCCACCACCTTTATGCAGATGATTCCCAGATCTACCTATCCTTTCTCCCCCTGGGCATCGAATCAGTGCCTGGGCAAATGTAAATGGATTAAGGTTAAATGCTGCCAAAACTCAGACCATTGTCATTGGTTGCAAGCTCCTTATTAGATTCCATACCGACTTTACCATATTACACCTTAATTACCAGCCAATTTCCTTCTACTTCTTTGTTAAAAATATAGGATTTTTCATAGACCAAATCCTCTCCTGGAACTACAATATTTCTCACATTTCGTAACGAACAATATCTACCTTAAACTATTTCATCGTTTCCGCCATCTCCTACCTCAACATACCCGTAGACTCCTAATTTCCTCTCTCATCTTCCCCCACGTTGACTACAGCTGTGTGGTGTATGATGGCCACTCGGTGGAGCTCCATGATAGACTGAAAAGATTAATGAATAGCTGCGTAAGATTTGTTATTGGTGCCCTGAAGTACTCCCATGTCTCTCACCACTACACTGAGTTAAGGTGGCTCCTTCCCTCCTTTCGAAGACAATATTTTCTAGGTAGGTTCCTCTACCAAATCATCAACACCCATCGTCCTTCTTACGCCTACAACCTTCTCCAATTCAAGTCCTCAGTCCATTCGCTTTCAACAAGATCTCGACCTTCTGACCTCTACATCCCTTCTCACAGATCTGCCTCATTTCAAAACTCCTTTATTGCTCGCGCTGTCAATTTCTGGAATTCCCTACCTATCAAAGTTCGACATTCCCCTCCATATCCACATTCAAAACCCTCCTATTCCAATTCCTATCCCAAAAACAGTCAGATGCTTGCTAAACTTTTAATATTATACATTTTTATTATATCATTCATCATCAAATGACAGTTCTATTCCATACTGTAAACTTCAAGTGAGATTTTGGAATATCTTCCAACTCTCAATGCTACTGAATGCATCTATTGTTTGTTTTTTTATTCTTATACAAATAAATTTGAACCTATAGTTACAATAAGATAATAATGTGTTTAGATATTATTCATTATTTAAATACTCTGACATTTTATATTGTCAGATTTGTCTTTCCTTTGTTAGCAGAAACACAGCTTATTTAAAAGAAAAACTCAATGTATTTTTTATTATTTTATTTTTAAAAAGTGTATAATTATAATTTTCCCTACTGTACATAGTTTTAAGTGCCTTATCATAGTTTTAAGTGTTTTGTACATAGATTTATTTTTTTTTGTATATAGCTTGTTTAACTAATATTTTCTTTTTTTATTATTGTTTTATTTTGGCCAGATGTAGTCTTTTAATTATGTACTATTTTGTTATTCTACAGGTACTTTGTCCCAGGATAAAGTTATTTTCTATTTCTATTTACAGTTGATTTTTTTAAAACTTAGTCTTATTGCAAATTAACAATATGCAATGTAAGTCAATCAGTTAGTGGTGTCTTGTTTTTTTTATTATTAATTAATAAAGATAAAAAATATAGTCTTAGACTAAGGTAAGCTATACTAAATAGTATTATTATATACTAAATAGTAAAATTATATACTTACGTTGGTGCTGATTTATTTAAAGGGTTTGGAAAGGCCCAAATTAAATGAGGACACGGAGGTAAATCTCTTATCATCAACTTGCCAGTGTCAACCACATGATTTACTAATACTTTTGAATACCTAAAATTAAAAAAAAAAAATTGTTCATATACAATTTTTATTAATATATAGGGCCACTTTGACAGTATTTTAAATTTGGGAAATTAAGATCTGTGTCCTTCTGAGTACCAGAGTCCTGAGAACCGTTAATAGAAGAATCGATTAAAGAGGAAATTGAAGTAGCTATCGGAAAATTAAAATCTCATAAAGCAGCGGTAGCCGATAATTTTCCTAGTGAACTAATTAAGGCATGTGGGGAAGCTGGAGTTTCTAAAATACATTTGTTGGTTAAAAAGATCTGGGAGAATGAGAAATTATCTGAAGAATGGAAAGAATCTATTCTTATTCCGATTTACAAAAAGGGTCCGGGGACGGATTGTAATAACTATCGAGGAATTTCACTCCTTCCGTTATGTTATAAAATATTCGCTTTAATCCTAACTAGTTGAATCACGCAATAAGCCGAAGAAATTATCGGAGACTACCAATGTGGATACAGAGGACCGTTCGACTATTGATCAAATATTTTCTTTACAGCAAATATGAAAGAAAAGATTAGAGTACAACGGTGTTCTTCACCAGCTGTATATCGATTTCAAAAAGGCATACGATTCTATTGACCGCCAGAGGCTGTATAATATTCTAATCGAACAGGGAATTCCAAAAAAAATTAGTAAATTTATTCAGGATGTGCTTGACGGAAACAGTCAATAAAGTTAGAATCTGTAATAATTTATCCAAAAACTTTGAGGTTTTAAACAAGTAAGAAAAAAAGAAAATAAATTTTATTCTGGGACATTTAGTCCCCTCAGAATAACTATAATGAACAATGAAATGACAATTGTCTGGCGATTATGAATAATAAAATGACTATTAAAAATAAATTAATTCACAATGTTGTCTAACCTTAATATTAAAATAAAGAAGACACTAGTAAATATATGATCTTTAAGTAGACATATGAATATAAATTTAAATCCATACGAGTGAGTTCACGTATTTGTACAAATAAGCAATATGGCACATACATAGATATCTGCAAGATATCAGTATAATGTAGCTGACATCTCTAAAGTACAAAATAACTTTATTTTTACATATATTCGGAAGATTGATTACTGAGGAAATGGAAAAATAAATTGTGTTTAAATGACGTCAAGGATGAGGATTTCCGTATAGAGGTTGGTAGGGAATTCCAAAACGAGGTAGCACGTATGACAAAGGATTTTTTAAAGGAAACAGTTCTATGAGAAGGAATAAACAAATTTGAGGATTGGGATCTCGTGTTGAACGAATGAACAGAGGAACAAGGAGTAAAGAAATCAAGAAGTAAGAAAATTTTTTGGTTGTAAAGGTTCGGGAAAGTAATACACATAGGAAATATTGCCGTCGGAAAACTGGATAGAGCCACTTCAACTCGTCATACGTGGGAGCGCCTTGGGAACTCCAAACATAAATCTAATGAAACAATTCATTAGTCTCTTTAATCTGATCTCAAGCCCACCAGACAGTTCACAGTATACAAGGTAGCCATAATCAAAGTGAGGGAAAATGAGAGAGGAAACTAGGAGCTGACGGATTTTAAGGGGCATTTAGTCCCGGAATCTTAGGAATCGTTTGAGGATAGCAATGGACTTTCAGATAATTGGGGAAATGTGATATTTCCAGGACAGATGTTGATCAAACATTACCCCAAGGTTTCTTACGGATATGTGGAAGCGTATGGATATTCCATTGAGATATAGTAGAGGATAATAAGGAATGAGGTTAATCAGATGCTTGGACCCAATGAAAATGGCTTTGATCTTCTCAACATTTAATTTTAATTCATTGCTCGCTGCCCAGGTATTAATACTGTCAATATCTTCTTGTAGCCTTCGAATCGCCTCAAGTATCTCGGTAGGATAGAAGAAAAGGTAGATTTGGAGATTGTCCGCATATAAATGGTATTGTGAGTGATGGATGGAATCAGGAAGGTTATTAGTGTAGATAGAGAAAGGAGTTGAAGAGAGCAAAGGTCCCTGAGGAACTCCACGAGTAAGAACCTATCCGTTAGGATTTTTCACCTAGACTTAGGATCTGAGGCTTGTGATAAGGAAGTATGAAAGAATTGTGCCTTAGTACACCGCAAGAAAAATTGGGTAAGGTTTTGAAGAGTCTTAAAAGAGAAGTAGTCATCCGGATTACATGTTTGTCTGAAACGCCCCCTTGCAGCATCTCTTCTCTTCATCAACTCTCCTATTTCTGGATTAATCCAGGGAGCAGCAGGGCGTCTGAAGGTCTTTAAGGGGGCGTGCTGATTTAGGAATAGGAGAAGGTTTGAGGAAAGACACTCCACCATTTCATCAATGGAGGAGTAGGAATAGATCGGATCTAAGGATTGAGCTCGTGATTCAAGCCAAGGATTTAGTTTTTCAGAGGTCAATGAGCCAAGATCATGCCATGTAATTTACCTGGGAATGAACTTAGAAGTCGGGACATTATAGGAAATTTTAATGAGATCATGATGTGAAAGGAAGGAAACAAGAGTTCTGAGGATAATAAGTTTTGAGGGGAGTCGATTAGAAAAAGGTCGAGTCATGTGCTCGAGAACTGGGTATAGTGAGTAGGTTGAAAAGGGACGATAAATAGGTCAAGAGCATGAATTAGATCTATAAGGAATGATTTGTCAGGGGAGTCGGAGGATAAATTGGTAATAAAGTCGCCGGCTATTATTATATTGTTGTATAAAGGAACTTGGGTAAAAAGGGAGGATTCGAAGGCAGGATCAAATCGGACATGGGGAGGGCGATATGTAATGACGTAAAGGAGTTAATTTGAGGAAATTTCTACAAACAAATACTCTAAGTGAGGAAAGTCGGGAGAGGGAGATTTGAGCAGGATTTTTGTCCTCAGATTTTCATGAAGATAAAAGCCAACACCACCACCTACCTGTTCAATCATGACAGATGGATGAGGGCATGGTTAGGAATGGATATAGAGGAAGAGGGAATATTAGATTTGAGCCAGGTTTCCGAAACGACAATAATATGATAAAAATTATGAAGGAAATAATCTTGGAATTCATCAAAGTGAGAGGAAAGGGATTGTGAGTTAACGTGAAACATTAATAAGATATTAGTCATTTAAGGATAGAGAAGGATATATATCTTTGAAAGTTTAAAAAGAAAAGGGACAATGAAAATTAGTGAATAAGAGTTTCCATCCCTAGTTGATTCCCTTTCGCCTGTCCTGTCCAATTCGGCATTAGAACATGCCATTAGGGAGGTAATGCGTATCGAAAAAGGGTTGGATCTCGGTGGGACAATACCGTGTTTGGCTATGCGGATGATCTGGTCTTGTTAAGCGAAGATACAAGAAACTATAAAACTAAATGCAGAAACTTTAATAGAAGCTGGTAAAGAAATAGGGCTCGAAATAAACACGGATAAGAAAAAATATATGTTTAGCAGCAAAAATGGCGATATTGCCGCTGATATCGCTATAGAAGGTAATATGTTTGAACACGTAGAAAAGTTTAGGTATCTAGGGTCAACAATAACTAAAAAAAAAACAGTTCAGTATAAGCATTGGAAGACGTGCCTCTCTAGTCGCTCACAGGTAAGAATCATTTATTAATTTCTTGTTCTTATAACTTTTCATTTTTATTTGTTATTTACTATAAGGATATATATTTATTTTTTTATAAACTATAAGGATATATTTATTTCATTTCATTTTATCAATTTTTTTTCTATATTACTTGCTTTCTTTTGATTCCTTTTATTGCGTTTTATTTTATATTTCTATGGGAGATCCCATAGATTTAAATAGCCCAAAGGTTAAACGAAAACGACCTCGGGGTCGTCTTAAATTTGAAGCCGAAATACGGATGGTGCGATCCCAATTAGCCCATCGTTTTTAATAATAGAAAGATCAGATGATCAAATTTTTTTTCAAATTCAAAAAGTTTTTCCGTTATTAATAAATAAGTTTCTTTCAGGTTTAGTGGGAGACTTGAAAATGTGAAAACCTAAGAAATGGTACATTACTTATTGAAACCCAAAACAGAAAACAATCAGAAGAATCTGTATAATGTCAATCCGTGCGGGGGCGGGTTGGCCGAATGGGCAAAAGGGAGTGCACAGCACATCGAGTTGCCTGGCAACCGTATTACAGATTTGAGAAGATTTAAAAAGTACGAGTTCGCGACCCGGTGCAGGAGAGGATTTAAAAATTCCCCGCCCTCATCCCTCAGCCCGGGAAAATCCCGTATAGCCTAAATGGCGAGGTAGGGAAGAACAAAAAAAAAAAAAAAATGTCGATCCGTGCCCTAATATATATTTTAAATTGGAAATATAAATTCATTTCGATAAATATATACATCATTATTACAGCTATAAAAATAAAAACACTGCTATTTACAACGCTCAAAGCATTTACTTATTACTACCAGACATAATAATAAACAGCTACAGAACGTTCACTGATGCAATCATAAACAAATATCCTACATTATTCTTATTCTATTACTACAAAAATAAACCTCATTTTTGTATAATAAAGAAATACTCTAAGCTCACTAACCTATTTATCTACAAAACAAACATTTATTTATTTTATATGAATATGTGTAGATGCACGTATGCATATGTGAATGAATTTGTTATACATTCCTACGCATATATATGTACATATGTAGGCTTATATTTTTTTGATGTATACATATATGTATTTTTGTATTTTTACGTATATACATAAGTATATATGTGATTGTGCTTATATGTATATTTATATATGTGTGTGTGTGTATAATTGTGTACGTACGTTTCTTTTTTTTTTTAATTAAACGCCTCTGCCGTTGGCTATTAGGCCATTCGGCTTCTGGCAGCCCAATACAACTCCGCCATAAATCCTTTGTTTACATTTGTTCCGATCCCATCAGAAGTACTGAGGACATTTGACAGAGCAGGGCAAACTGGGAGGTGCAGGTCGTACATCACGTCCTGATGGCAAAGAGGGCACACATGACTTTCCACCAC